GTGACCAAGGCACTCTTCTTCTTCTTCTCTGACTTCACCCCCTGAGAGGATGATTAAAATAAGTATCTGAAGTATCTGATCCACCTTTTCCCTGATCTTTTAAATCATGCCAGCCCTCCCAGGGCCCACCCTAGGAGCATGCACTGCTCAGAACGTGGTATAGACCTCAGTGATTCCTATCCTAAGCTCTGGGATCAGACAGACCTGAGTGCTAGCCCTGGTCCTCCCATATTCCAGCCATGTGACTTTGAGCATGCGACTCAGCTTCTCTCCACCTCCATTTCTGGGTGCTGAAGCTTGCATCCTGCATTGGCTCTGAGGATGCTCAGTGCAGAGTCTGTTGTACAACGAGTGTTTAGGAAACATTTGTTTGACAAAATGCCTCATGGCAGTGACTGTTTTCACCCATCAATCCTGAATCTTCCCCCTTGCTCTCATTTCCCCTATTTAAAGGTGTGGTTCAAAATCCCAGGGCAAGGATCTGCTTTTGGAACTTTTATTTATAAAAACTTTCCTGACATCCTTCTGACTTTGAATTTTGGCCTTTCACGCTCTTCCTCCCAGCTTTAGTCTCCAGAGATTTTCATTTCTATAATTAAGCCCTAACTTCAAAAACTCCTACTGGGCCTACCCAGGGATACTGATAATGCAGCTATACCACCCAACCTACTCTGGAAAGCCCAGTCACCATGGAAAATGCCATTAAGAAGGTTACATAACTGTTTCCTGTGGAGGTGGGCCTATAAAATGAAAAGATGAGCAGAGGTACAAGTTGGTAGGCTTAGAGCAAATGGAATATATAATCAATTTCACTACTCAATCTAAGGTTCAGAACTTCTGATGCTGGTCAGAACAAAACAACCTTGGATCAAAGTGTTCCAATTGTCATGCTTTGGCAAGCACAATGCAGAGACCTAATTGTGCATCCTGCGTGCTTTGAAGTGTCGAAGACTACACCTCCCTCAAACACACAAGGGGCCTTGTCAGAACAGATAACTGACTGACTCCCACAGACAAGGGCTATGTGAGTCACCTTGGGGAAATCAAGACCCCAGCTGCTGAGAAGCACAATTTCAAAGCTGAGAGTTTGCTGGAGACAATTTTGTGCACAGCAGAGAGAATTTCTGCTGGCTTCAGCTCAGTCTGTGCAGAGTATCAAACCAGTACTTGTATGAAGCTGCCTACAACATCAGTTCCTTGATGCAGAAGATCCTGCCCCCCAGGGTGCAGTTAGAAATGTCTGCAAACACGTCTCTGTTTATCACAACTTGGGAAGGAAGCACTATTGGCATCTAGTGGGTAGAGACCAGGGGTGTTGCTGAACAAAGCACAGAATAGCCCTGAAGAACAAAAAATTACCCAGCCTTAAGTGTCAATAGTAAAACAGTTAAAAGCCATTGTCTCATAGGAGGAACCAGTAGGATTTCCATGGCTAGCACGACCCATAGGGGTCCTAACTACCCATGGTCTGGCCCCAAGTCGGTTGACCGGCCTCATCATTGATGAGAACATTTAGTTAAAAGGATGAACTTCTAAGCTGTAATCCATGTTATTCCACTTCCCAGTGTAGGAAAGACACTCCACTCTCTATGATTGCCTTTTCCTCATCTACAAAATGGACATAGTAATTGTGTTAGTCAGCTTTTCATCTCTGTGATCAAATGCTCAGCGGGGGAGGAAAGGTTTATCTTGGCTCACTGTTTCAGAGATTCTGTCTAAGTTCATTGCTCCGGGCCCAAGGTGAAGCAGATCATCATGGCAGGAAGGCATGGAAGATGGAAGCTGCTCCATTCATGGTGGCCAGGAAGCAGAGGGTAGGGGCAGGGACCAGAGAGCAGATGTCCCCTTTGAGGCCACATGCCCAGTGACACACCTCTTGCAGCCACACCTCACATCTGCCGACAGTTACCACCCAGTCAGTCCATTCATTCTAGGATGGACTGATTCCGTTATAGCTTTCATGATCCATTCATTTCACCTTCAAATATCCCTGCATTGATACATCTTATTTCCAAATCACAAGAGTAATAAAACTTGTCCATAGAGTTGTTTAAGGACCAAATGAACTGCAAGAAAACAGTGCATATAAAGTACTTCATTAAGTACCTAACTCTTAAGAAGCAATGTTATGAAGATTTTTTAACCTCTGCTTTATATTTATTGTTCTATAATTATTTATTGTTATGTAATCTGTTTTTGCTTCACCTGACTGAGAAGCCCTTCTCCCTCCCACCCTCCCACCTGTGATCATTCCTTCTTCCCTCAAGTTCAGCTCAAGTGCTATTTCCCTTGGGAAACTTCCTCAGATCTACCCATGAGACAACTTGGCCCTTCCTCTGGGGTCCCTGGCCTCTTATTTTTCTTTGTTCCCACCCTGATGACTTAGTTAATCACCCAGCCTCTAAATGCCAGTAACACATCATATGACCTTTGTGCCCTCACCAAGCCACAATGAATACTTTTTAATTAAATTTCAATCTGTAGTTCTAGGCATTTCTGCTGTTTCTGATCATTCTGAGAGCTCTACTTACTCCTTTGATTTTCTGCAACAAATAATAACCCATCCAAAATGCTGAGGTCATCTCCAGTGGTGAATGTCTCTCAGAAGTTGATTATGGGTCCAAAGACCTATAAAACACTCTGAGGTGAACTTGGGAAGACCAAATACCAAAGTAGATAATCTTTGGAGAGACATGAAGACCCCCACATTCACTAACCCTCATTAACCCAAGGGGCAGAATTAGTTTACATGCAATTCAAAGAAATCAAATTAGCCTTTCCTATGAACGATCTTTTTGATATCCAACCCCATTAGGGAGATACCAAAGTTATTCCAGTTATAATTCCTGGGCCAATGTTACACGGCAAGAATGACTAGGCAGGCAGGTTATCTGACCTAACATCTGTGCTTCTAATCACTCTGATCATCTTTCAAACATTAAGTGACTTGGCACTGTTAAATGAAAAATAACAGAAACTATTCTTCCAACAAAAATTTAAGAACAAGTCTGATTTGTAGAACTCCTAACAAAACCATTCTAGGTTGAAGGAGGGGGACTTCCTGAATCACTCACCTGTTACCTGCTTCCCACTTCAGGTGTCTTTAGAGGAATTCTGAGAATCAGATGATTACACCTTTATATCCTGCAGATGTGGAAATGAGCCTAGACCTCAGAAGGTGAAGTGCTAAATGATGTGCGAAAGTTCCTACAGCTTGAAAGTGTCAGGGCCAGGAATTCTAGGTCTCCTGGCCCTGAATCCAAAGTTCTTTTGACAGTATACTGACCCGTGTTTTTGACAAGTCTTTCTTATTAAGAAGCACAGAAATAAAAGATAATCTCAAAATTCCACAAATATTTACTGTATTTCATCTGACCTAAGATGCCATTGGGTACAATACATATCCCAGTTCGAGGTGTTGCTGGTTCTGGATGTTAGAATCAAGGACATGGCAGGTATCTGTCAGAACAGTGGTTTTACTGATTTGGGGTCTCTCCTTTAGCCCTTCAGCACTCTAATACAATGGTCCTAATCTTTTCTGGTAATAAAGTCTCCTTTGTAATCTAATGAAAGTTATGGAAATTCTAGCTAAAAAAAAATGCACTTACAATACAGCTTTAGATGTAGTCTGGTGGTCCCATGACACCTTTCCACAAAACCCATACACTTTATGCATTCTGTATTAATCACAATTTCCACTTCTAGTTCTTTTGTTCTGAACAAAAGGAATCTATTCTCCATCTTACAAATGCAAAATTAGTTTTGGGTTAATTTTGGATGGAAGGGCAACCTTATGAAATAGGAGTCACATAACAATGTGTTCTTAAATTTTCAAATTAGAAATCCTAAAAGGCAAAAATCAAAATAAATAAAGTGAACAGTATTCTGTTCTGTGATTTGATTACATTACTATTAATCAAGTTCCTCTGTTAATGAACATTTAGATTATTTCTAGTTCTTTGTTATCCCAAACAATTCTGCAGAGAACATTCTTGTACATGACTGACTGTCCTTTACTGTGTGAGCAATAAACTTTATTTCATAACCAAAAAAAATGAAGAAAGTGAAATCGTGTTTGAAATTAATGGCAACCCACTCAGAGAAAAGAATTATTCCACTGACTTTTAGAACAAATGTTCAGTATCTTCCCAAAGACAAAAATGACAACTGAAAGGAATTGTAAACTCTTTTAGTAATTATACTGTTTCTATTAATTTTTCAATGCTATTTTGAAATTATAAGTCTTTCACAAGTGTTTCTGGAGATTTTCTTTGTCTGGATTTCTACTAGCTTTAGAGTAGAAAACCCCAGAAGGCGTTCTCGTAAGTTGGAGAACTCCAAATCTAGGCTAGTCTCCCAATCAGCTTTGGCTGTGGCAAGGTAATTAAGAGCAAACATATGTTGTCATAGCAATTAGTTTTTCCTGGAGAAAACAGCCTTGTTGCCAATGATAAAAAGAATTTTTCCATTCACATGATATGTCCTGTATTCTTTTTAAGAAATGTTTCCTTGGTCTTAGTGTTGGGTGGCCAATTTATCTTGGTTTGTGCAGTAATTTTCTGGTTTTACCTGGAAGTCTGTGACCCAGGAGAGCCCTCAGGTCTGTGAGAATCAGGTTTGTTGTCACGACCCTGCCAGCTGCTCACTGTCCTTGTCCTAGACTGGTGCTCTTTGTAAAGCCCTCCTCCATATTGACTAAGAATGACTTTGATTAACTCCTCCAGAAAAGTTGTCACCATGCCAAAATGCCTCTTTTCCAACCCCATAGTTTTCCTTTGAAAGAGGGGGAAGAGAGCTGGGGGTGGGAGAACAGGGACTTTCCGTCTATTCCACACAACCCACATTGTGGTACCAGGAGCATGATTTCTGTCTTTCCCATGCACTTATATTTTTCATCGCTCTTAACAGTTCCACTTGCCTTCCCAAATAAGTCAGCCACCACCAAGGTCCTATTTCATCAGCTATGTGGAAGGGAATAGAAAAGAATGAACAATTCTCACATCCTTTTGAGGGGGTATCTGGAGTAAAGTAGGGGTGAGTTATAAGTCCCTGAAAGCATCATGCGTGAAGTTATTTTGAGGTGGAGCAAGGCCTGTGATGAAGGAAGGTTGTGTCAGCCAGCTTTTTTTATTTTTTCTACTTTGACAATTACCTGAAAAAAAAAAAAAAAACTCAGAGGAGGCAAGATTAATTTGGGCTCATAGTTTCAGCGGTTCAGACCATGGCCACTGGCTCCGTTGCTTCAGGTATGAGATGAGGCATAGCACCATGGTGGAGCCTGGCAGAGGAAAGTTACTCAACTCACTGAGCTGGGAGCCTGGAGAGAGGAGAGAACCAAAACAAGGAAAGCCAGGGCATGCCCCAGGGCCTGCTTCCTCCAAGCATGCTCCACGGCCTGTAGTTTCCACCCCCTCCCACTAGTGCATTCAGCCACCGGTGGATTGATCCACTCTGAGGTCAGAGCCCTCATAATGTTATCACTTCCCCAAACCCCAGCTCTGACCCAATCTTCAAAACATGAG